ATACACTGGTGTCTGCTGTGGGAAGTGTTGCACCTAATGGGAATCTGTTCCGGTGGCACTGGAAGATCAGGCAATGGCCAGGAGCTTTGGGAAGGAAGGTTAGCTACCAGAGCCAGCATGGAGAGGAGCCCCATTTTGCTCCAGCCCTTCCTCTGCATGAGCATGGTAAAAGCATAGTGGCACTTGTAGGTGGCATTTGCTGGCTCCTGCAGGCTGATCCTTTCATCCCAGCTTGTCTGACATGAAACGGTGCAAACAAACCTCCCTGCTTGCTTTGATTGCTTCCCAGGGATTCCTCCATTTGCATTATAATGAAGCGATATTTTGCTGTATAAATAAACCTGAAAGTTGACATAGAAAGGACTTATCAACTCTAAAGGTATTTGCATGCTCCCCAGATGAAGGGAGAGAGAGCCTCACAGGGATTTAGTAAGGACAAACTTCAAGCACTGGTGAGTACAGTGAAGATTTACAGCAAGATGAGAACATCTTGCTCTGGCACTTCATAAGAAAAGTTGTCCCCAGGGCTGTCATGAAGCAATGAGGTGGGGGTTACTGCTGGGCTGAATGTCTGCTGTCTCTGCCCTTATCACCTGTGTCCTTTGCTTTCTGCTGCCACTAAGGAGGGCAGAGGGCTCTGATGGGGTGTCAGTTTGCAGGAACTGGGGGAGACCACCCACCCTTGCAGATATGTTCACCCCTCCTGAGTCCCTAGTGCAGGTCAGGCTGCTGCTCGGTGGATCTGACAGTCACACCGACCTGCTTTGCACCTTTCCTGGACCCTGTCTTACTCCCACCCAAGCCCATTGGCAGCCAGGAGTTTCTGATCAGGTTAAGACATAGTGGTACATCAAAACCCACTAACACCTTAGTGGCTGGCACTTGCCTGTGCTGAGCCACGTCTGCAAGTGATTTCTGAGTGCTGACAGAGTGTTTGGAATGATTTCCAGTGGGCAGGCAGCTCCGAGCTCTGGCTGGTGTCTGTGAAAGCCGCTTCCCTGACCCACTTACCCTGCAGCCACACCTCTGGCCAGAGACCAGCTCCTGCTGGTGTCAACAGACCTGTGTTTAATCCATAAAAGAGCAAAATCTTGGCTTTGCTGAAACACTTGTCAGGACTGTGATATTGGAAAGCAATTTGTGAGCCAATCGGCAAAGCACAGCAGCTCACCAGCTGCAAAATCTGACAGTGCACAGGGTGAGGACAGGAGCACAGTTGCCCTGGCACAGCTGCAAGCCAGCTGGCCTGGCTCCTGCTGATGCCATGCTGGCTGCTGGGAAGCTCTTCCCCTTCTTAATCTCACATTTTTGCAGACCAGGACTAGGGGGAACTGTATCCTTTGCGTGGAGAAGGACGCCGTGGGGAGCATCTCCTCCACTGGGCAGTGGTGAGGCTGCTCCTGGCTGGCTTTAGGATCTTTGGCTCAGGAGAAGGCAGGGGAAGTGGACAGCATCCAGAGGAGAGCTGGCATGCTGGTTAGGGCTAGAGGAGAGGTGCAGGACCTGGTCTGCTCCAGGGAAGAGCAGGCTGGGGGAGCACAGCAGAGAATTGTGCCAGCTGTTGGCAGCAGCCCCTGACTGGAGCTTGGGGGGGCTCCATCTGGGTATCAGGACAGTGGCTGGGTCATCCCTACTGTCCACCAGGGACCTCTGCCACCTGGCCCCATTTTGAGCTGTGCCCAGCTGACCCACATAGCCCTACTATCTCTGGGAGAGGCAGCCCGTGCTGACTGGTACCATTACACAAGCTGCTGCAGCCTGCTGCCTGCACACAATAGGCACTATTTTTATTCCCTTTCTGGTTGTCACAGGCAGTACTAGAGTCCTTTGGGTGGAGGTTTTTCTCCCACATGCTGTTATGTAGGACATTTCAGTCACTTGTCCTTGTGACCTGCTTGTGCCTGTCCCTGCCATCCCAGCACTCCCCTACCAGGACCAGCAGGAACAGTATGTGGGGTCAGTGTCCTGTGGGGAACAAAGCCCCAGACTTGAGCACTGTTCAGAGCTTGCCCTGCCTGCAGACACCAGTCAGAGGAGGCACACATCCCTGGGGAGATGGTGGTTTTGCCCCTGCCCCACCACTCCCCAAGCCAGTAGTAAAGAGGAGAGCACCAGCATGGCCTGCCCGTCCATGGGCACCTCTGGTCCAGACCTGCAGGTGAACTTCTCACCCTGACCTCAACCTTGAGGCAACCCAGCAATGGGACTGCCCCCTGTGTCCTGCTCGGTTCCCCTGTGAGGCCCTGCCCTGCTGTCCCAGGGGGTAAAGCCCCTGTCCCCGATGGCACCCTTACACTGCCCGGTGGTCCCAGGAAACTGCTGTCAGAGGTGGGTCTGGCCACTGTGACAGCAAGTTACTCAGAGCAGAAAATCCTTGTGTGTGATGGGCATGATGTGGATGGAGCAATTTTCTGCACAGTTACTCTAGTTTATTCAGTGTGATAAACCAATATTAAAGTAGGATGAGATGAAGCTTGGGTGCAATGTATCTTCCTTCTGAGTCTATTTCTTGCCATATTACTCAGCATGGGAATTTCTTAATGGAGCTGGAAGAAATGGGGACCTGCAGCATAGGGATTAGATCAGACTAGAAATAAAATTCCCGCACTTCCTCTATTAGTTACGTGTACTGTGGCTTCAGACTTCCTAGGCTTAACAGAATGATCTCTCTGCGTGCTTCATGCAAGTACCAGGGAAGGGTGGAGGGGGGAAGCAAAAGGTGCTACCACACAAAAAATCTTTGCCAAAGAGGAGGATGAGCAAAATGAACCTCTCCTGGCAGTTGGCAGTGATGCCACATGGCAACTGGGAGAAAGTGCCAGGGGATAAAGGTACAGCATGAATAGGGATGGCAACCCATGTTCAGAGTGAACAGGCAGTGCAGCCCCTGTTAGTGCCAACATGGTGCCCTCCAGTCTGAAAGCCTCCTCCCAGGGATGCAGATCTCCCTCATGAAGAACGGATGGGGCTGTAATTCCAGCTGGCTGACACAACATCAAAGCACTTCTCCCCACTGCCTGCCAAGTCATGTTTTGCAAGGTCCAATCCTGCACCACCACATCCACAGGCTCTTGGCAGGTTCAGGGCACTTTGTGCATCCCCCAGTGCACTGTCAGGTGTGTCCCCTTGGCAGTCCAGTTTCCAAAACCTGATTGCAGCACCTCAGAATAGTTCTGCACCCTGAAGGGCTTCCCTGCTCTCTATGGAGTTACATGTGTTCTAACTCCTCTGGCCTGCAGAGCAAGTTTCTTGGGGAAGCTCAGGATAAAATGACCATCAAGGAACATTGAGAAAGAAACATAGCTACAATTTCATCGACAACTGGATGGACAGCTTTGTTAGTGATGGACTTAGCAGAGGATGAGGAAGAGAAGGGTTGCTAAAGACAAACCCTGATGAGTTGGTGGCTCACGGCTCCACAAAGCACAAGACACACACTTGGAGGCACACTGCCAGCCTCCTGACTGGCTTTCCCACCACTGCCTCCTTTCTCGGTTTCCTTCCTTGGACCATCTTCCCTATTTTTTTCCCTTGAGCCTGGATCTGCCTTGCAGCTCCTCTGAGCCTCCCCTTCCTGGGGCAGCAGCTCCCTGTGCCTTGCCTTTCCCAGGGGCCTGCGGCAGTCTCTCAGTTTCTTGTGGCACAGAGCCTTGCTGTGCTCAGCAGGAGCTATTCCTCCTTGCCCTTTGATGTGTTGCATCCCTGCTTGGGACCGCTGATGGGGACAAGCCCTGGCTGATGATCAAAGTGTCCCTGCCAAGCTCTGCTGCTGCAGCCTGGCCCAGTCTCTGGGATTTCCAGGTGGGAAATCTCCAGTTGTTGCTCCGGGTGGTGGCACAAAGCATGGTATAATGGGTGCTGGGAGCTTCCTGCACGCTGCTGGGACCAGAGCCAGCATGGCACAGCACCCAGCTGTGATAACAGGGCACAAAACAGGCTTGCTCATAAAAAAACACAAGTCAGTGCAGCAATTCCAGTCACTGGAAAAATTCCAAATATGTCAGTATGTTGCATAGGCATCTCCTGGTGAACCAGCCAGTCACGGTGTGATCGCCTCTCAGTTGTTTGCCAGCATGTGCTGCTTGCCCAGGCTGTGCCAGAGGCTTCTGCCAGGGCATCTGCAGCCCACGGCCTTCTCTGTGAAAGCCAAGTTGAGCAATGACCCTCCTAAATCCACTTCCAGCACTGCATTCAGAGATAGCCAGGAGTAACCTGCTCTAGAAACCATATTTAAGGGAAAAACAACTCCTTCACCTGGCCTTGGTGCTGGGCTGGCAGAGTCTACAGATGTTTGTGCATGCTGGCCCTGGGTCCTGGGCTCTGGGGCTTTCCAATCAGCAAGCACTGAGGGCAGGTGCTCCCTGGGGAGAGGGCTGTATCTCCCTCCAGCTGCCTCCAAGCCCAGGAGTGCCCTGGGTCCCCAAGACTTGTAGGAAGCAGCACATGGCAGCTCCATGCTGCTGGAAGGGCTGGTGGGACCCCATGGGTTTTCTCACATCCCGCTCAGTATCTCATGTTTTTCCAATGGGAGAAGCCACCTGCCTAATTAAACAGCAGTAACAAGCTTGGCATTGCCAGTCATGCCTGAGCACACTGCAAATTCCAATGACACTTACAAGAGGAAATGTGCTGCCTCCTGGGTCTCTCTGCTAATATTTAGAAGGCTGACTGCTGTGTCCTGAGCCCAGTCGGTGCAAGGTATAATTAGAAAAGCTGCTTGAATAGTATTGTTATAAAAGTGATGTTAAAATAGTGGTGTGGAAGGGAAGGCCAGGGCCATATGTTTCTGGGGTGTGTGTGCTACACTAGGCACCGTGCCCAGTGTGCTGCAGTGATACATTTTAGGCAGCCTCTGCTGAGGGAAATTAGCATCTTTGTGCTGTACACCAGGTACACCATGTTCTTCAGATGCAAGGGAAGAGTCCTATTTAAAACCATCCAATAGAACATTTTCCAATTTTTATTTATCAACAGGCATCTATGTGTATTCCTTGAGAATGAAATATTTATCTGTAGATGCATGCACACAGAATGTGAGAGTGCCAATGTATTATTTATCACCGCTTCCCTCCCATAGCTTATAAATAACTCATGGAACCTGGTTGCCCAGCAGACCCTCTGGACAGCTACCTAAAACATCTCCAGCTGCCACACATGCCAGCCCCAGGCAGAGCATCCCCTGCCTCCAGGCCCAGCCAAGGAGAGGGCTGGCAGAGGGTGACAATGCAGGGTGGCATTGGCCTCACTGTCAGATGCCTCCCCATACAGGCCTGCAAGTCCTGCTGGCTCTGCACATGGTGGCTGCTGTAGGTCATGGTTCCCCGACCCACAGACAGGGTGATGGAGTCCAGGAGCCAAAGGGAATGTGTGTGAGTGGCGGGGTCATTGCTGCACTACCATGGAGGGAGCACAGAGGGATGTGGCTGCTAGTTCTTGGCTTAGCTACCTAGAAGGGAAACTGAGGCAGCCCTAGCTGTGAGCCAAACGTGCCGTGCTGGACTCTGTGGAAACGTTGCCATCTCACTGCAGATGTCAGATGATGAGAGCTGTTGTGTCAATAACACAACCGCAGCCCCCACAGTATGGGATGCATCACCTACAGTGAGGATACGAGAGCTGTGACTGAGCAAAATGCCCTGTCCTTGAGGGAGGGCTTGGACAGTGGCCACTCAATGAACTCTTGGAATAGGAGGCTGAGGCTGGAAGCCCTGTCCTGGAGCTGGAGTCTGGGTCAGAAACCAGGCTGCTCACACACAGCCTTTGTCTGCCCAGCCTCTGGAGCAAAGCAATGGGCCTTGTGGGCAGCAAGCCAGGGAGAGGGAAAGCATGGGGTCTCTGGAGATCTCTGGGTGCAAATCAGGCTCTCATGGTGCTGACCTGGGACACTATTTCAAAGGTACTGTGGGTGAACAAGAGTGGATGGGCATCAGACACAGTTTATGGCTTTGCACATATAACTCCCATTTCAATCGTGTAAAAAGAAAAAAAAATACCCTTCTGTTGAGCTCCAATAACACCTTTCTCCAGTGCTTAAGATGGACACAGATAAAACAGACAGCAGGGAGCATTTTGCTTCCCCTGTAGAATGACTGCAGAGAAATCAGTGCTGCTGCAGGAGCCCAAGGCCATGAGCTGGAGCAGGTTTCAGAGATCAGGCTGTGCCTGCTGCACTGCAGGGGCAGGTCAGAGTCTGGTGTGGAAAGAAGGGGAGAGGATCCCCTATGCCAGGCTAGGCAGGAGCTGAGGAGCTCATGCATGTTGCAGGCAGTGCTAATACAGTGCACAATGCTGGAACACCATGACTCAGAGCAGGGGAGCAATTACACAGAACCTAAAAAAATAGAAAGCACAGTATTAATAACTAAGAATTACACTAAATTACCTCATAAGTGAATTATCCTCCCTACATTATCTGCTGAGAGGAGGAGCTTCCCTGCCTTCTCTGCAGAGAGAGAGGATGGATGGATGGATGGATGGATGGATGGATGGATAGGAGAATGGCTTTCTGGACTTCAATTCTCCAGCACTGCAGGTCGCTGCACTGTGCAGAATTGCTGGTGAGCGCTGTTCACATGGGCAGGGGCTCACTTTCCTCATTGATAAACATTGATATCTGATATCTCATAACAGATAAATGAAGTGCAGCAGCTGTTCAGCTTTGCACAGAGATCCTGCACAGCAGCCAAGAGCATGGATCCAGCTGCATGGCAGGAGGAACTGGCAGATTGCAGTTTCCTTTGCTGTCCCACATGCAGGGCTCACCAACCATCTTGCTCCTGGCTGAGGCCAGGGCTCCTCCAGGAGCCACCTGCCACTGGATGAAGGAGGATCTGGGATGACTTGGGCAGCAGCCCCAGGGCTGGAGTGGCCTCAGGTCTCATTGCTGCAGCATCCCTGGCCCCACAGAGTCCAGTGGGAGTGTGCAGCCCATGGCTGAGCAGGACACGGTGATACCAGGCAGTCGCCAGCTGGCACTGCTGAGCATTGACGTTCCCCCAGCTGGAGGAGGTGACAGAGCTCATTCCCTTCCCAGGGTCACATCTCCAAAAAGAAAGGGAAACACTATCCTGGCAGCTCTGCATGCTGGATTTGCTCAGGCAGACAGAGCCCCAGGGGAGGCTAATGTGCCTGCAATGTTTGCAGAACCAAAGATATTTTCACTCCATCCCAGCTAAGCAAAACTCAGTGCTCACCAGACAAGGGTGCTGCAGGTCCCCAAGGAAGGGCCTGGTGCTGGCGAGCCAAGGGAAGGCAGGAGCCAGCTGCTGGGATGCTGCAGAAAGTCAGCAACATCCATCAGTCTCTTGAGAGCATCATCTCGCACTGAGCTATTTCTGAGCAAGGGCTGTTATGGGGAGGCATTACAGGACTGTCAGGTACAGCATGTCTCTCAGCTGGAGGTGTGCTTCTCGCCTTGGGAACAGCCACACAGCATCCTTTGGGGGCTCGCTGGCTTTTGGCTTTACTCCACTTCAAAGCCCAGCTCCCTGTGTGCATTTTAACGAGGTTCACACATTCCAAATTTCTAGGCCAAGTGAGGGCTTTCATTCTGTGCTGTACTCAGCAGCTCTGCATGGAGGCAGCCCACGGTTAAGTAAGGTGAGAGGCTGAAAGTGGTTCAATTTTGCAACAACAGTTGAGAACAAAGCAAAGATTTTACCATTTAAAACTGGAACAAAACAGAGATGGAAGATTTTTGTGGGATTATTCTTTTGTTTTCCTCTTAGCACCCAGTAAATTTCTGTGAGTTGAATTAAATGTAAAGTGTCAGTGGCTGTTGCCTCATGCTGGAGCATTCTCGTCTGCATCTGAATGACAAAGCCAGGATGAGGCAGCAGCATCTGGGGAGAGAAGGAATCAGAAAAGGGGGAGAAGAGGGACCTCACATTGGGCTTGCTCTCCTGGCCTGGGCTCTTTCTGGTATCTGCTGCTGGTTCCTCTCAGCACTACCTATTTTTGTCTTCTATTTTTTTTGTCCTGCACCTGCACATCCAGCTCATGTCTGAGCCTGGGGTACATAGGCATGACAACAGGACAAGTAATCTTAACTGACCTCTCCTAGTGACCCTTCTTCTCCTTTCACCTAGGGTTGGCTTGCAGAGCATCTCTTCACCTTGACGAAGAGTGTTTTTATGTTACAAGGCTAAAAGTCATCATCACCATAATATTTCTTAAAACAAACCAGCAAAATGAGCTCATAAAAGCTCCTCTTGCTTAATGCATCTGTGGGCCATTAGCTCACCTTGCCCTGGGAACACAGGCAAGCCCTGAGGCTGAGCTCTGAGCTGGCCCCCAACCAGGAGAGGAGAGCTCACCCATGCCCAGGCAGGGCACCCGAATAGGAAACCAAACACAATCACTGCCACCTGAATCACGCACTGCCACATTCCTTATGGATACCATACAGTCCATAGCAGGCTGGGAATAATTTCCCTTCTCACAGTGTGGATTTTAAATCACCCCACAACCTCCTCCTGAAAACCTGCCGAGCTGAAGCCACTGCAGGTCATGTTGTGCAATTTGCTGTTGCAAGACAAAGAAAACAAGTTCTTCTTTTTCACAATTACCAAACTACTTCATCGAGCAATTTCCTTGCCTCTGTGCTTTGGTTTCAGTTAACAGTATTCCTCAGGGAGGGAAGGTTTAACTGCACCTCGAGTGCCTTACTGAAGGTTCTGCCATTAAAAACAACTGTGAGAAGTTGCTGAAGTGCTGTGACTTCAGTCGAACATCTTCAGTTGCAGCAGCAACTGTGCCTTGCTCTAGAGCTGAACCTGGTCAAGGCTGGCAAGAATTCAGGCAGGTGCTGTCTGGAGGGGCTGCCTCTTCCCCAGGCCAAACCACACCTGCCTGTCTCAGTGTGGCTCTTGGCATGGGCTTTGCCCTCACATGTGATAACTTGGTCCTGATAAAACAGGTCCTGCTGGGGTGCCAGCACCACCCCAGGTATTTGGTGAGGCTTGGCACTTGCCTGGGAGACAGAATGTCACCTTGGCTTTGGAAAGAGGGCAACACAGGTGTGACAGGGGAACCTCAAGCCCCATTTGAAGCAACTAACTGTGGCAGCTTCTCAGGACTGGGGTGTTGCTGTCACCCCGTGCATGGCACAGTGGAGCAGCAGGGCTCCCCACACTGCAGCCAGGGCCGGTGCCAACACCACAGCTCAGCTGCACCCAACCAGGGGACACCGCTCTCCTTCCCACCACACCGTGGCAGGCGCTGGCACCGGGGCTGCTCTGGCTGGTGGCTGCTCCCAGAGGGATGCACTGTGCCAGGGACACACAGGCCAGCCCACCGCCACCGGCTTTTAGTCATCATCACCGAGCCGTGATGGGCTGGGGAGTCTCTGTGTTCCCCCTGCTGCCTTTGCCACACTTCGGGGCTGCCCTGCTGGTGCTTTCCTGGGGATGGGGGATGGCACCAGACATGGGTACTGAGGGCCAGGACCTCCCATATCAGCTCTTTTGCAGTGCAAGGGCAGGAGCCCTTATTTCATGAAGGCAAGACCCTGGGTCTTGCCTCACTGCAGCTCAGCTGCCAGTCCTGTGAGGCCCCTGTGGCCCCAAGGAACCCATGGGGGTGCCCAGGTTTCTGTCTGGCCACAGCTCTGATCCAACCCCTTCAAACTTCCTGCATTTGTTTCACTCAAGCTATTTGGGGGAAGTAGGGTGTTGTTATGTCTTCAGCTCAGCATCTATTTAGAGAAGGATAATACCATTGTGGGGGAGGACAATGAGAATATGAAATGCCTTAAATTCTGTCTCTCACTATTTTGACTAATTATTTTTTCCTCTTTTTCCTTCAAATAGGTATTTCCTTGGGAAATTACAGTGAGATTGGATGGCGTGTTTGAGTGGGATAAAGCATGAAAAAAGCCCACCAAGATGAGCTCAGACTGATCTCAGCTATGGCCCTAGTGCAGGAGTTATAGTCTGCACAGGGGCAGAGCAAGGGAAGGTCAGAGTGCAAAAGTGAAGGGATGGCCCATGCAGGAGGTGACTGCCCTAGGAGACCTCAGTGCAGAAGACAGCAGCCACCCCCTCCTTCCACTCTTCCAGGGCTATGTTTAGCTCCTGGTTTGCTTGGGGAACCCAGATGAGCACCTGGAACATCTTAATGTCATTGTCCCACCAGAGCTGGCTTTAGTAGACTTTTTTTCCTTTGTAGGATATAACTAATTGGTCCTGACATCAGGGAGAGTCATGTTGGGTCCTGAAATAGCTTCTGCTGAGCTTTACTTACAGAGGTGCCATGGGGCAGCGTGAGTGCAAGTGTACATGAAACTGCTTTCACAGGGAGGCTGCATGGCCAGGGAGTGCACCTGAGTTCAGGTCACATCCCAAGACCTGGAAGACAAGAGTGGGGAGCAGAAATAATAAACATCAATGGCCTGGCCAATGAGCCTCACCTCCAGGTTAGCCCAGAGGTGTAATAAGGACTGACAGTCTTACTATTGCTGCACAGCAGGCCCTTGCAATACCCTTTGCCTGTAGTGGTCCTTGCTCCTCTGCCTCTCTGGTGGCACCCTGGAGGGTCTGATTTCCTTGGTGTTTCTCTCTTTGGTAACAGCAGTGAGAACTGTGAAGAGGCAGGGGTTCAACTTACTTCAAAGAAGCAGTAACCAAAAGGTCTTTATGGGATTGTGCTGGGAGTCCAAACTCCAGATCTTACACTGACTACCAGAGCGTGGTGGACCTTAGGTCTCCTGCACAGCTATACCATGCTGTATGCTCTGCTGGAAATTTGCTGAGCCAGTGCTGCAGCCAGAGGGTTTTATCAGCAAAGTCATGAATGGGGAGTAACTGCTGTTCTGGCATGGGGGATGTCTGCTGTACCAGTGTATGTAGGATAACTGCTGTACTGATGTGGGGTAACTGCTGTACTGATGTGGGGTAACTGCTGTCCTGGTGTGTGGGATAACTGCTGTATTACTGCAGGGACTCCCCTCCTTGCCATGCAGAGCCTTTGCATTACAAGACACTCTAAAGCCTGGACATTGCTTAAGAAAGTAAAATTAGATCAGAGCAGCACTAAGATAAGCAGCTCAGTTCTCAACCCACAACTTGCCGGAGCTCTGTGGCAGGACAGGATGCGGTGTCAGCAGCAAGGATAGTGTCAGACTGCCCTGAGGGAGCCCAAACTCATACACCTGCCCCGGCCCTGCTCTGATCAGAGCTGGGTGTGTGGAGGTATTGGGGATGCCTGGGGGGACACTGGGACATGGGGTGGAGCTGCTGCTGCTGCTGAGCCAAGGTCAGAGCAGCGAAGGGACCTGTGTATTGTGTGCTACATCTCAAATGAAGGCAGATGCTGGGATGGGGAAGGACTTCCCATGGCCCTGGGTGCTCTTCAGGTGTCTGTGCACGATGGAAGCAGCATATACTCAGCTCTCTGTGGCTGCATCCTCCCCTTGCTCATTTGTCTCCTGGTCATGGTGCCTGTTGCTGCTGGGGCCCTGGCAAGACATCTTCATGTCATGCTCTCCTGGGACCCTCAGAGAAGGCAGTGGGCAGGGCACAGACCCTAAGACCTGCTTCTGCTGCTGAGAAGCATCCATGTCTTCCCAAGTGAGCAAAGGCAGGAGCAGGCTGCAGGGCAAACATGCTCTTGGCCATGTTCAGAAGTCATCAGTAACGCTCAGCTTTGATCAGCTGCTGCAAATAAATGTTCCTGCCAGTAGCTGCCTAGGCTTGGCTCTCTGCTTGCCCTGGTCTCTTCTGCTGGGCTGTCTCTGGGGATTATCAGCCACAGATTGGGCAGAGAAAGTGTAGGTCTCCCTGCTCAGAAAGAAATATTTCCAGACTATTTTCCTCCACTTCCAGCAGAAGAGATGATGTTTTTACACCAAAGTGGACTAGTTTCAGACAATCATATTGCTGATCCTGGAGCTGAAGTTAAAATCCATGTGCCAGGCAGAGGGGAATGGGGCTTCCCAGTGCCCAAAACAAGGTGCTGGGAAAATACCACATCCCCACCTGTCATCCCTGCTGCCTGGTTCAGTGTGCCCATGGATTGGTTTTAAGCAGCAGAATGAGAAGTCACTGGTAGGAAATGAAGACAGCTGCATTCACACTTGACTCTATTGTTTCATAAGTATTAGCAGAGAGATTGAAAATGTAATTATGATAATTAAACTAAATTGCAATCTTCCTACAGGAGCTACCAAATTATTTATATCAACTCTTCATCCTAATTCCCTTAACTGTTCCCTGCCCAGTGGAGGAGTCCTAACTGCTCTGGGCTGCCTGCACTGTGTTCCAGTGCAGGCAATCCTCGATGGCATTTATGAAACAGCAGCAAGTGGCAGTTCTTAGCAGGAAATTGGGATGGGAAAAGAGCTTGTGAGAAACAGTGGTGCTGAGGGCAGAGCACTTTGAGGGCATAAAGCCACAATAAGAAGGGAGAGCCAGAGGGAAGTGTGCAGGACTGGGAAAGGTAGTGCCCAGCTGCAGTGAGGGCTGGCTGGAAAGGGCAGAGCAATGCTAGGCAGATGCTCAGCAAGGCTGGATTTGGGCACTGCCTCTCCTGCCCCTTGGGGCGAGCGTGTACCTCCCACTGTGACCTTTGGAGCTGAAGTGAGCACAGATCCCAGAGTGGCAGGACTCAAGGGCCATGGCATGGCCAGGCCAGCCCACAGACCCAGCAGCAGCAGCAGCTTTGGTGCTGCTGCTCTGCCAGCTCCCTCCAGGAACACTGTCAGCTCTAATTAATGTCACAGTTCAGCTTGCTCATGCATCCGAGCAGACCGCGTGCAACTCCACGGTGCTGCGGGAGGAGTGATGAATCCCATCCCAGAGCATTTTCCTTGTGTTCCCCCCTGCTTTCCAGTGCCAGAGCAGCAAAGATTTCCAGACTCAGATGTGACACCAAGCTTGTCACCCCTCTTTGTGGGGTGGCAGGCTGCCCAGCTGCCCTCCATTTAGGAGCAGGAGAGAAAGGGAGGAGGCAAAGCCCTTTACTGTGACCAGCTCTCCAGGGTCCTTCCCACTGAGCAGAGAACATATGTTTGAGGACATATGCCCCTATTTTGGAGCATAGGGACAGATGATGTATACCACGATGTGCCACCACTGGGTCCAAGACATCTGGGCAGTGGCATGAAAGCCGAGATGCCCGCAGCTAGCAGACCCTGACCTTCATCAGTCCTGGGCTATCCTGTCCCAGACCTTGGCCAGTTACTACCATCAAAGGGGCTTGATTTAAGCCACAGATGGAAGCTATGCTATGGCTTACCAAGTCTGGGCATGCAGAACATTCCCCAGCTTGGGAACAAGCATTCTGCAGCCTTTCTCCCACCTCCACCCCTCAGCAGCAGCACGGACCCCAGTGACCAGGGTTGGATCTTGGAGGGTGCTAGGCAGCTGCAGCCTGGAGCTCAGCTTCTTGCAGGGCTGCCTTGTCGAGCCAAGGCTGGATTGGGACCTTGTCCTTCATTATATAACTGCTTCTCTGAGTGTTTTCATAGCGCTCAGCCCTCCCACCAGGCAGAGCCCCCACCGGCAAGGGGGAATGTCATGGTTTTCTGAATGCATAGCTTTGATTTCCTGCTGGGAAGTAGCAGTGGACAATTCTGCACCCCCCTGGCTCATGCACATTGCCAAGATTCAGCCCCCTACAAGGCACCAGGCAGCAAGCTAGAGGTCACCTTGTCTGGGATGGGTGATGGAGATATGGAGAGAAGCAGAACCTCAGAGGCCAGATCAGCTCTGTTCCTCCATGGGGCTCTTTGAGCCCCGTGGATGAACCGACCTGGCCTGGCCTTTGGGACCCCACGCTGTCCCTGCACTGCCCTGGCTGCCTGCCCTCGCATTCCTGTCCTTGCACATCATCTCCTTCCAGCTGCTGAGGAAAACAGCCCCTGCTGCTACCAGCGGCTGGGGTGAGGAGGGGGAGACGCCTTTACAGCACATGAGCTCTGCGGGAGCTGGGGCTGCTGCTGACCTTGGAAATGCAGGGTTTTTTTCTTCCCAGCTCCAGGAGAAGCAGGAGGTAAGGCATAGATGGCTGGCACTGCACCCTCCTTGCAGCACACCAGTTTTTTCCATCATCAGTGGGACCCTGCCCACCCTCACCCAAGAAAACCAGGGGCTGTGCAGTGCTGTCACCCACAACCCTTTGGACAGTTTGACAGCAGGTTGTCTGCCCTGTGCCTTCCCTGCAGGATGAAATTTGGGATCCTTTCCCCACTGAATAATAGAAGTTTTGGTGTGATGGCCAAGAATTGGGCAATGGGACAGTTGTGATGCCTTGAGAATGACTAATAGCAGGGGGACAGGTCAGCTGCTCTTCTCCAACACACCGCCAAGGAGGAAATCCTGACGCCTTCCTGCTTCTCTGAGAGTCACAGTGTGTGTGCTGAAGGTGACTTGGAACTGTCCCAGGGTTGTACTTGATACTGAGTATTGCCTATAGTCCCCAAAAAGGAGGAGGTTTTCACCACTGACCTGGTGCCATTCAACAAGATTTCACATCCAGGAGTGCAAAGCAGCCCCTGAGCCAGCAGTTCCCACATCCCCTCTGTTCAGACAAACTGGATGTACCCTGTGCAAGGCACATCTCCAAACTAAACTGCAAATAATTCTGGATCTAAATCAGTACTACAGTCTGGGCAAAAAGTCATTTAATGACTTGGCTCATTCCACTTGACCACTGGCTAATTTTTCTGGTTGCACATGATATTTTTTCCTGTTGTGGATGAGGAAGACCTAAAGATGGGAAAAGGGCATGCTAAGGGGAGAGAAAAACAAGAACTTGTACATGAGTTCCTGCCAATGCTTCCACATTTGTGTGGTCCCCCTTCAACCTCATTTTCAGGAGAAAATCTGTAGTACATCAGCAAATACACAGTCAATAAATAGTATTAGCAAAAACGGCTCTTTTCCCCCTTAATCTCTTTGTTGCCTGGAATAATCACATGCTCTATTTATCTATAACACACTTGGGGAACCTTAGGCACCTGGTGCAGCACCTAAGATGACTTGCCAAAGCATCAGCTCCATGTGTCAGGCTCAGAGCAGGATCACATTCTTTCCTAGTGTTGTGTTGCTTGTTATAGGTATTTTCTGGCCAATTCATCACACACTCCCTGCTAGGTCAGAGATGTGTGAAGCTCAGTGTTCAACCTTGCTGCGCTGGAAACCACCTTGGGTGGCCCACTGAGCCTGGGCAGGGCAGTGATTTGCACCAGGGGGAGATAGCAGTGCTTGACAGGTAATTCAGCAAACACCTGTTCCTGCATTTGACTTCTTCCCCCACAGTTCAAACCTACTGGCAGAGCTATCAGGCTGCCTTTCTCTCCCTTTGCCTGCCTGTCCCTGGGAAAGCAGTGGTGGGATGGGGCTGCCAGGCTGTTGGGGAGCAGTTTCAGAGTCTGTGCTGCTCTTTGCGCAGCCCTCACGCCTCCGCTGCGTCAGGGGCTGATTCACCATCCGGAGCTGTAAGGCTGAGTTAGTGCTGATGGATGGAGCCTGATCGACAGGGAACGTGCCTCTGCCGACAGCCCCAGCAGGGGCAGTGCCACGCTCGGTGGGACACTGTCAGTGGGCAGCAGCCCTGGCACGGGGGCTGGCATCAGGCCTGGCACCGAGCAGAGACCACAGAACAGTTTGTCCTCTACATATGGGAACAGGTCGTTCCCAAAGCCCTGCTGCACCTCCCCACACCAGCCCATCAGCCAGCAGTAGGCTTTTCAGCTTAGCAAGCAGCTACTTGTTTAAAAGGAAAGAACAGCAGCAGCTCAGCCTTTTACTCAAATCTGTTAGAGAGAAGGTCTCACTCTCTCCTCCTCTCATTTTTCTAGGAAGATGTTCCTTCAAACTTGCTGTGTGGAAAATAAAATTACCTTTTCCTCCTCTTATGCACTTGTTCTCATTTGCAGGCCCAGGCATGCTGCTATGGGGAGGGCAGGGCAGCTAAGCACACATGAATAACCTCACACTAGCACTGCAGATGTACATATGACTTTTTTTTTACGGTTCTAGTACCAAAATATCCCAGGCACAAAGGGATTTGGACTCTACAGCTAATGATCTATACAGGCCTCTAAGGAAACTGCACAGTAGCCCTGCTAATGGCTTCAAGGGGAAATGCTTCAGGCCCTGGCTGCTGCTACTGCTGCTCAGGGAATTGTGCTTTTAGCTCTGGCATGCGATAAAAACCTTTTCTCACTGCTGCAGACATGATGGCTCTTCTGGAGAGAGGAAAGGCATTGACTAAGCTCAGGCTATTAACCACCTTTAAGCACACACGGAGGATGTAAAGCAAACACCACCCGGTCATTCAACACCCGGGGTTAGTTAACTACCCCCGGGACTCGCCCGGCGTGCCCTCTCTGCTCCCAGGTGCCCCAGTGCTCCCTGCTCCAAGCACTGCCTGCTCCCTCTGTCCCGGGAGAGCAGAGCTCTGGGCACAGACCTGGGGCACTAACCTCAGCCCAGGGCACTGCAGCTTCCCTGCTGCCAGCCAGGCAGTCAGGCAAGCCTCATCTTGGGGAAAGCACTTGGGGATAAGCTCTCTCTCCCTGGTGTTTCAATTCCCCTTCGTGCCCCTTCCCTCCCTGGGAAAGGCAAAGGGAGCTTTGTTTGATAAAAAGCAGCAAGACACGGTATTTCTTTAGCAAGGTGTGTCTGCAGCGCCGGCCTGAGCGTGCTCAAATCCAGCAGTGGCCACCATCAGCTGCTGCATCTCGCTGCACATCACAAGGCAAGAAGGTGCCAACTTTAAGGGGACTCCCCCCTCTCCCCATTACCCCTTCCCATGGAAGCCATGCCACTGTGCCTCCGTCCTCTGACTGATTCATACTGAGACAATGGTCTCGCTGGTGTGGTGGCAGATTTTGCAATGGATTTTAATGAGGTATTTACAAGTTCTGAGGCGGGCTCCTTGCACAAGGAGTGTGGTCTGGCCCTGGCAGCTGGTTGGGCTTTTCATTGACATTCCTGCAACTCCACCGATTGCAGCACAGTGGAAAACATTTAGACATCAGAAATGCCAGATTAATTATCTCTTAATTGATACCTCCACTTGGGGACAAATGAAACCGGAACATCTCTCCTGCCTTGGGAGCTTGCCACTTACAGATTTACAGCTAAAAATACCGCGGCAGTCCCGT